CATGTTGAGCCCTGCTGAGGGTTGCTACTCCCTGGCAATCTCTGCTAAGCACGGCTAGGTCTTGCTGAGCCCAGCTAGGCTCTGCTCAGCCTTGGTAAGATTTGCTAAGACACGGCGCCACACTTCAGGACCGCATTTTTTGTAGTCGCCAGCGACCGAGCCACTCCACCGCGCCTGGCGGGCGATGCCTGCGAAGCGACCTTCTCTGGAGGGGAACACAGAAGGCATCGCGCGCCGGCCTCCTTGACTATCCTCGGTTTGCCTGCCGCCCCCATGCATTCTGGATTGGCGCAGTCATAGACCATCGCCCACCTGCACTCTGGATTGGCCTGCCGCCCACCTGCACTCTGGATTGGCGCGCCTTGGGCAAATGAACAACTGCTGGCGATGGGGGTGGAGTGGAAGGGGTCGGAGCCGCGAGCCCGCGCTGGCCACCTCCGCACCTCGCCTCCCTAGGGCGGTGGGGAAGGGGTTGCCCCCCCACCCCAGGCTCGGGACCAGAGGGGGAATGCGACGAGGGGGGGAGGGGGGGGGGACACTAACAGAAAAAAAAAGTTCCCCCTTCCCCCCGCCTTTCCCCCGTCGCACTCCCGCTCCCCCACCGGTTTCGAATCGGGGAGGGGGCCTCTGAGGGAGCTGGGGAAGAGGGACGGAGAGCACGTGTAGTCATGCACTGTTGGGTCCTGGCCAAGCCGAAGACTCCCGCAACACGAACACCCCCACATAAAAAAGCCTTGAAGCGTGCAAGGGGGAACGAAGACTCCTCAAAAATACACTGTGCAATTAGTATGGGTGAATAGACCACGATCGACATACATCTATACATATATACTTTTATGTCAACGTGTATGTACATCTAGTTACATGTACGCACGTACGTACGTACGCACGCACGCACGCTCGCACGTACGCACACACACATGCATCCCTCCCTCCATCCATCCATCAATGCATACATACATGCATCCATTCATGAATCAATACATCCATCCATACATCTATCCATACACACGTCTAGCTGTGTATGGGCATTATATATATACACATACATGCATACACACATGCATGCATGCATGCATATATACATATATGTGTACCCACATACACACGATAAGGCACACATACACGCATACGTACATGTTTACATACACACATGGTAACATACCTATTTGCCTACCAGCCTAACAGACATACATGCGTACCTACATGCGCGCATACATACATACATACATAAATCCATACATACATACATACATGCATACATACATGTATACAGATATACATACATATAAACAAACATACATGATGCATACACACACAAACAACCATACACACATGGATGCATGCATACATATACACATACATACATGCACACAGGCGCATACGTGTTCACGCCGATGTGTGTATGCATGGCGACTCGCCAGGCATATAGAGAGAGAGAGATAGAGAGAGAGAGGGATAGAGAGAGAGAGAGAGCAAGAGCAATAGCAACAATAATAAGAGAGAAAGGGAGAAACCATCCTCCGACCTCCTCTTTCTCCGCCTCCTCCTCCTTCTCTTCCTCCTCGACATCATCATCATCCAAATATTTCTCGTCGCGTCCTCGTACTCAATTAGGTGTTCCTTATGCTGCTGCTCCTCGTTGAGCTCCTTGTCCATCCGCCTCCTCCTCCTCCTCTTCATCCGTCTCGTCTTCGTCGTTGTCCTCCTCCTCCTCCTGCTCCTTGTCGTTTTCCCTCTCGTCGTCCTCTTCCACCACTTCCTCCGCCTCCTTGTCCAAGTTGTCGTCGCCCGCGCCGTCTCCCTCCTCATCCACCACCCCTCGTCGTCCTCCTCCTCCTCCCCCTCCTCCTCCTCCTCCTCCTCCTCCTCCTCCTCCTCCTCCTCCTCCTCCTCCTCCTCCTCCCCATCCTCCCCCGTCCTCTCCCCCGCTCCCTGTCGTCGTCGTCGTCGTCGCCGTCGTCGTCGCCGTCGTCGCCGTCGTCGTCGTCATCCTCCCCCGTCCTCTTCCCCCCTCCCCGTCGTCCTCGTCGTCGCCGTCGCCGTCGTCGTCGTCGTCGTCGTCGCCGTCGTCGTCGTCGTCGTCGTCGTCGTCGCTGCCGTTGCCGTTGCCGCCGCCGTCCGCTGCCGCCGGGCCTGCCCAGCAGGGCCCGCGGCACCCCCCGCGGCGGCGAGCGCCGCCCCCCTGCTCGGCTGGCTCGGCCGCGGCGACGTCTGCGTCTTCGTCGCAGGCCGCGTCGGAGGGCGACGGGGGGAGGAGAGGAGGAGGAGGAGGAGGAGGAGGAGGGGAGGAGAGGAGGAGGAGGAGGAGGAGAGGAGGAGGAGGAGGAGGGAGGAGGGAGGAGGAGGAGGAGGGAGGAGGAGGAGGAGGGGGGAGGGCGAGGGCGAGAGGGGGGGAGGAGGAGGAGGAGGAGGAGGAGGAGGAGGAGGGGAGGAGGAGGAGGAGGAGAAGGAGGAGGAGGAGGAGGAGGAGGAGGAGGAGAAGAATGCTGAGGAGGAGGGGAGTTGGAAGATGAGGAGGGGAGGGCCAGGACCAACACACGGCCCCCGCAGTTGCGGATAAGAGTGAGGCGGCGGCGGGGTGTCGTGAGCAGTTTTCGAGGCTTCGGACAAGCCCGCCGCAGGCGCTGAATTCTCGTCATAGCAATGTGGGTAGGCCGCTGCTGGGTCGCGGGTGGGTCGAGGGGTGGGTCGCGTGGTGGGTCGCGGATTGGGGCGCGGGTGGGCCGCAGGCAACGACGACGACGACAACAACAACAACAACAACAACAACAACAACAACAACAACAACACCACCAACAACAACAACAGCAACAACAACAACAACAGCAACAACAACACCAACAACAATAACAACACCACCAACAACAACAAACATTTTAAAACTGCTTGCTCTGCCAACGTGTATCTCCGAAACCATCAGTACCCGCCCTCTTCGTCGTTGATCGTGCCCGTTACAAGGGGACATCTTGCTCCCCTGGCACGTGTGATTGGCGCAGCCCATGAAACAGGAAGAGGAGACAATGGGTAAGGGAGGGAGCGAATAAGATAGTGGGGAAGGGAGGAGGAGGAGGGAAGGGGGCAACATGGAATGAGATAAAGAGGACGACAGGGAGTAGCAAGAAGATAGGGTGGCAAGGAAGTCTCAGGCGAGAGCGCGCTTCCTGAATACATACTGCGGAAATCCCGAGCGAGAGCGCAACTCCAGAGCGCCGAGAAAGCGATTCGTGATTACGTTGTGTAAAGAGTCTTAGGCGAGAATGCGATCCATTGATAAGGTGCATGGAAGTCTCGAGCGGAAGAGCGATTCTTCAATCCATTGTGAAGAAGCATCAGGCGGGCGCCTTTTGTTGTACTGGGGGCTGGGGGGCCATCTGACGCTCAAGGCATCCCCTTGAAAAAATAGGTTGCAAACTCCAGCAAGGGCACTCCAATTGAAAAACGCATATGTTGCCGTGGAGGAGGGGTCAACAATGAACACTCTTCAAAAACGAGACTGCAACATGTAGAACCCGTGCCGCGGAATCCCACTTCAGCCACGCACCCAGGGAAAGTGTAAGACCGTTCGGCCCCCTCACGCGGATAACACTGTCAAGAAATAAGGAGGGGAAGTAGGGAGCGGAGGGGGAGAAACAGGAGGCCTGCTCAGAAAGGGTGGCATCCCATCAGCCCTCTGGCAATGAGGTGGTTTAGGGAGTCGGCTGTTCCATGCGCCCTCCTTCCTCTTCAGGGAGGGGGTTTACCCCTCTCGCTACACCCACGTCGCAAGATTCCCTCTTCGCCTCAGGGGAGATAATGTTCGAATGTCGTTCGGGATGGGTTTGTCGTCAACCTGGCACATGGTATATGCCTCATGTGGTCTCTCATTTGGCTTCGCGTTATGTCTGGATGTGTACGAAACGCGTGCACGTGTGTGCGCGTACGCACTCGTACACACGCGTCGGTGGCATACCTGGCGCATGGCCTCCGACGTTGCTCAACGCGAAGCAAAATCGGAACCGAAAGCGCTCCCTGCCCTCGGACCTGGTGGCCTCTCGAAGGCCTCTGGGGTCCTCCTCCTGCGCCTCTTCCTCCTGCTTCTGCTCCTCTTCCTCCTCCTCCTCCCCCTCCTCCTCCTCCTCCGCGTCCTCCTCGTCCTGATCGCCCCCCCTCTCTCTGGTGCTCCTGCTCGTGCTCCTGCTCCTGCTCCTGCTCGTGCTCCTGCTCCTGCTCCTGCTCCTGCTCCTCCTCCTCCTCCTCCTCCTCCTCCTCCTCTTCTCCTCCTCCTCCTCCTCTCTCCTCCCTCCCTCCTCCTCCTCCTCCTCCTCCTCTCTTCCTCCTCCTCCTCCTCCTTCTTCCTACTCCTCCTCCTCTTCCTACTCCTCCTCCTCCTCCGCCTCCTCCTCCTCCTCCTCCTCCTCCTCCTCCTCTTCCTCCTCCTCCTCCTCCGCGTCCTCCTCTGCCTCAACCTGCTCGCCCCCTCTCTCCGGTGCGCCTGCTCCGCCTCCCCCCCTCGCCCTCGCGCCACCAGGTCAGTCCGAGGACGCGCGCGGCGCACCGAAAGCTCTGGCCGCTCGGCACCGGCACGGTCTCAGCAGCCCTCTGGGCGCGGCTGCTCTAGGGAGTCAGCTCTGCCAGGCTGCCACTCTCCTCCTCCTCTTCCTCTTCCTCCTCCTTCTCCTCCTCCTTGTGCTCCCTCTTCCTCCTCCTCTTCCTCCTCCTCCCCTTCCTCATCCGTCTGCTCCTCCGCCTCCTCCTCCTCCTCCTCCTCCTCCTCCTCCTCCTCCACGTCCTCCTCGCCCTCCGCCCAGGCGAAATTCGGGTGCAGCTTATATGGTGGGAGGGGGGGCATGAGTGAGCGAGACAGCTTGTAGCGAGACAGCTTGTGGCGCTCCCGTTGGGAACTTGGCCCATCCTCTTAATCACTCGCTCCCTAGGATCTTGAGGGAGGGGGGGTGGCAGAGGTGCCAGAGGGCCCGTGTGGGTCCAGGAGTCTAAGATGGCCCGAGGTAGCCCAATCTGGCCTCCAAGCAGATGGCGCATGATGGTCCGAAGTAGAAAGAAAAAGCGCGAGGGGCTCCAGCATGCGTCCTGCTTGCAGAAGGAGACACGACAGGGCAACGTGGAGGTTCCAGGGCGGCTGTCCTCCCTCTTTGCGCCACTGTACGTCCCCACCCCTCGCTGGTCAAGGCAACTCGCCTCGGGCTCAATGCTAAATGGGATCGTGGGCATGAGCGGATCGTCAAGAATTAGCTGTGAAGGACGTTTTGACACATGTCCAGGCCCCGATCTGGCTTTCGAGATGCAGCGCGCCAGGTGCGGCAGAAACGAGCGGGAAACCGAAACGGTTAGCAGGGGGCCTCGATACGTTCAACAGCAGCGTCCTTTGTCTTTTCGCCATGAGAACGTGTGTGAGAAGTGGACCATCTGGTACTTCTTATCGTCATCCAGCACGTCGACGCTAGCGGCTTTCCCCTGCGCCTCGAAATCGTTGAAGGCCTCCGAGAACATGCCGTTGCCCATGGTCTCCAGGATGTCGTAGTCCCGCTTTACGGGGATGGTCAGCAGGTTCCAGATCGCCTTCCTGCACGCGAAGCGTAGGAAATCGTTGTGCGGCCATGCGGCGAAGACCTGCGTTGCAATCCGCCTCAGCGCCGGCGCTTTCCCTTGTCGACTCGCCCTGGTCCTGCCGATCTCGTCTGCCTGCTCCTGCGTCA